GGGGGTTGGTCTCTTCTCCCAGGCAACCAACAACAGGACAAGGGGACATGGGCTCAAGCTCTGCCAGGGGAGGTTTAGGTTAGATGTTAGGAAGAAATTCTTTACAGAGAGGGTAATCAAGCATTGGAACGGCCTACCCAGAGAGGTGGTGGATTCACCATCCCTGGAGGTTTTTAAAAAGAGATTGGATGTGGCCCTTAGTGCCATGATATAGTAATTGGAGTTGGATCAGGGGTTGGACTTGATGATCTTGGAGGTCTTTTCCAACCCAATCTATTCTATGATTCTATTCTGTGATTCTACTTTGCAGCTAATAATTTTGAATTTCTTACAAAACACCTTTTGTTTTCTTTCCCATGGGCTTGTAGGGTCAGGAAGACTCAAGTCGAGGCTCTGATAACTCCAGCTATGATGAAGCCTTGTCCCCTACATCTCCAGGACCCCTGTCAGTAAGAGCCAGTCATGGAGAGAGGGACCTGGCAAACTCTAGTATGGCCCCACCTACCCCAGATCTCCACGGCATCAACCCAGTCTTCCTGTCCAGCAATCCTACTCGTTGGAGTGTGGAGGAAGTGTACGAGTTCATTGCATCACTGCAAGGTGAAGTTAAGATCCTCTCCTGCACCCCTGTGAGCCAGTAGCAGGGGGAGATACACTGGCTCTCTTTCTGGAAAGAAAATAGTGTCAGTGGTGCCTAGTGCTCCTGCATGTTTCTGAATTGGAGTAGGTCATGGATTCTCAAGATGCATTTCTCAAGTATCCTATGTGCTCAGGGAGACTGAGGACTAAAGTGGGGAGGGGGGTTGGTTAGATTCCTAGCTTGCTTTTCTGTACCTGCCAGAGGTGCAGAGAGTAGGAGCAGGGGAGTGCCCAAAGCATGTATGCTTCTCACTACTCTTTTTTTTTTTTTTTTTTGGTTTGTTTCATAGGGTGCCAGGAGATTGCTGAGGAGTTTCGGGCACAGGAAATCGATGGTCAGGCCCTATTGCTTCTAAAGGAGGAACATCTCATGAGTGCCATGAACATCAAGCTGGGACCAGCTCTCAAGATCTGTGCCAAGATCAATGTCCTCAAGGAGACCTAACAGCTCTGAAGCCAGAGGTCTCACGTTTGCTGTGACGCCAGGGCAGCTGCCAGTTTTGGAGCATCCTGCTGGGGCAGGGAAGAATGGAACAGTCCCCTGTGGTCTTGCATTCAAGAAGAATGAGAAGGAATTTAACTGATTGAAATTGCCATGCACAAGCCCATGTCTTGGTCTCTTAATGGTGCTATGAGGTTGAGGAGAACTGTCACCTGGGGCCTTTAAACAACTTTCCTTCTTACCGATTTTGAATATGACTCCCCTATATACTACATAAAGCTGTGAAGGGGATCTCTTTCTGTCTTAGAAGACTTCTGAAAGGGAACTGCTCTAACCTGTGTTTGCCATGGCAGGTCTGCTAGATACTAGTTTTGAATATCACTGCCAGAACTTGGGACACAAGGAGAGCTGGCCTGACATGGACATTGGGAGCACCTGTGCTTGGGGTTTTATGAAGGGTAACTAGGAAATTCTGAGTGACAGAGGTGGACAAAGAAGAATTTGAGCAAAAGGGATGCTGCTTTTCCACTTTTGAAAATACCTAGGCTGCTCATGAACTGGGTTTAATAGCCATTCCAGCACACATACCAAACCTGAAGGCCTATGGCAATAGGGGCTGTTGTGTCTTCACTCTGCATGTCTACAGGAGACAGTAAAGCTGAAGTGTTGTGGCAGCTGTTCACTCCAGGTGCTCCTCTCAGAACCAGACAGAGGATTTTTCCTGAGTGCTCATGACAAAGCGATGGGAAAGTCGAAGGGGAGGGGATTGTCTAATATTAGGGAACCTTGCAGCACTAGGTTTGTCTTCCCATTGTGCTAGGGCATAATTTTCAGATCCAAAGGAGTCTCCAGAAGCACCAAGGCTCTTTGTGAAACTGGGCTGGTTTGTTTGGGTTTTTTTCTTTTTGTGTGTGTGCGTGTTTTCTTACCAATTTGTATTCTTTTTGTGTCTATCTTCATTATCCTCAGGAGAGCTTATGGGACAAAATTTAAGCTGGCAGGATTGTACTGCCTGCCTAAGGCTTTTTTTGTTTGTTTGGTTGTTTGTTTGTTTGTTTGTTTTTTCTTTTTATTCTAAAACAAATATTTCTCTTCCTCAGTTAAAAAACTGAACACACCCCACAACAACTGAATACTAATTCTTTAATGTTACTTCTCATTTCTAAAGGGTAGAAGTTATGTTATAGACCGAGTTCCTACTATTCAGCCCCTCCAGGTTTGGGGTTTGGGCTTTTTTTAAAGGACCAGATGTGGTATTCTGAAGTTTTGTAAGCAAATTGCCAAAGGTGAAAACCTGGGCAGAGTTCTTCTCTTCCAGAAGCACCTCTGCTTCAAACAAACAGGCAAAACCCCTGGAAGAATCACACAAACTATGAAGAGGTAAGTGCCCTCTAGAGCCAAATACCTGAAAGCAAGATGGTGTTATAAACCATGTGTCTTGGCTTTTCTGTTTTTAGAAGTTTCATGTGAGTATTTGAGTGAAACATAAGACTGTTCTGTGTGGAAAGCATCTACTGTTGCAGAAAAGCTGTAGTGACATGGGAGAAGGCCTAATAGCATAGGTAGGAAAACATTGGAGATCTTTGGAATGGGCTCTTGACCCCTCTTAGAAAAAGAGAGGAACGTGCTAGTAAATGGATAAAATGTGGCAGGAGCTTCTTGCATTCCTAACTATACTGCTGGATCTCTTTCATTACATCCTTGTTCTTGGGAGAGAAGACTTCTGTGGCTTCATGAATGAAAATAGGCCCCAAGGAAGCTGCCTATGCTTGCTTGCACCCTGATAACACTATTTAGCCCAATGTAATTTGGGGGCAGGGAAGGGGGAGGTTAGAATCAGCAATCAGCAGAGGAAGTGTGCCCTTAAACCATTTTCTCCTTAGCAGGCTGGGTGTGATAGAACTGTTCAGTTTGACCCTTGGCAGGGTGGGCAGACAGCTAGCCTGCAAGTGTTACTAGCTACTTCTGAGGACTGGATTTTATTTCAGTCAAATGGGAAGGCTTCCCTTCTTCATTTCATGTTCACTGTTCTTAATAAAAAGATGCTTGATCAGGCTTTGCATGTCTGGTTGCTTTTTAATCCCCCTCCTGAACCTGAACGTTAACCGAGTCTTTGATAAGTTCAACCTTCATCACAAAGTTACTTTTGATTTTTGTTGCTGCGGAAGAATACAGAGCATCATCCATCCATCCATCCATCCATAACTACTTGAGCTTTTAACGTTTTGGTTTTGAAAGATGTCCATAGCCTTCCCTCTTAAGCCCTAGGCAAACTGGAGTGAAACGGGGCAGCAAAAACCATGGACTAACAACAACAGATTCATTGCGGGCAAGAGTAGTTCAGGCACAAGGCACCACCTTTCAGCTTTGTGTAGGAAAGATACTTTGGCACCAAAGCAAGCTCCTGTTACATCAGCACAACACTTCACAAGTTTTTTTTTTGGTCACTTTATTTTTGAAAGTTGTGTTTTGTACAAAAAAAATTACCTTAAACACCACCATGAAAAACAGTTACAACAGACTTCCTATTTTTCCCATCTTGTGAGAAAGACTGAGACTGTAACAAAGGTCAAAGAAAGCAGGAATTGTTTGCCCACTTTAAACCCAGCAAAAAAGCAGGGCTACCCCTCTTCTCTCAATGTCGTTGTTCAGACAGCATTAAAAATACATGAATTTTGTCTGTACTCTGCTGATACCAGTAGTGGCTTGCTTATTCACAGTCTCTGCCCTCAAGACTGAGGGCAGTTCTCCTGCCAGTCCACAATAGGGTAGAAGGGGATTGCTCAGAGTGTAGCCTCTCAAATAAAAAGCAATTAAGAATCAAGGTGCCAAGTTCCAGAAGGTTCCCCTTAAGTCTATAACTCAGCTGTACCTGCTTTTCACCAGGGCCCCAAGAGAAGATCTCTCTCACTCCCAGACATTGGCAGTATGTAAGTACCATCTGCACAGGGCAAGTGTATTAAGACTGGCCTGCACTATGCTTAAGGGGACAGTGATTTATGAAAGTTGACCAAGTAAGTGCAAGAGTCCCTTATGCAGTTTTCAGTGTGTTACCATTCTTATCCTGGGCTTCGGTGGTTCCTATTATACAAAAATAAATTCTGATAGCTTCACAGGAAAACCCTCTGCCAACCAAGGAACTTCTGGCAAGCATGAAATCACAATGCTGACAGCGACTGAGCTGTGTGGGCAGTCACCTTGGGAAGCTTGTATCAGAATTCAAATGGCAGCTACCTGTCTCATTTTGTCTTGATGTCAGTTTCAGCAAATGTTCCTTTTCCTTAGTAGCACATCGTTTCCTTTTGCTTCTCAATGATTGAGAAGACAGAGACAATATTTTGACTGAAGTCATGAGACTATTTAATTCCTATATTCTTTTAGCATTGCCCCTCCCCAGTGTGAGAGGCTGGCATGTATCCCTTTACAGCTGTTGATGGAAACCAGTGCATACTTCTCAATACTATGCCATTAGTAAAACAAAAGACTGCACAGGTGCTAATGCCTCTTCCACCCCCAGAGTCTGGCATAGAGCACTCTGTGCCAGTTATGCCAGCAGAAACTGTGTAACAGTACAGAAGCTAAAAAAGCTGAAAATGCATTCAAAGAAAAATAATTCCAGTGTAAACCCTAGGGAAAAAACAAAAAAAACCAAACAAAAAAAAAAGACAAAATATCCCTTTTACAGTGTCAGCTGTTTCAGCCCATGGCCTTTTTCCCTTCCCCTTTCTGTACCTATCCATGGCCCTTTTTTCCTCTCACTGATTCATCTCCCATTCCTGCTCAGTGCTGAACACTCAGATTGCTTTTTTGTTGTCTTTACTCAACTCTCAGCACTTCTCTCCCAGCTCTGCTGCATTTTTAAAAACCTAAAGCAGCATTATATTTGTAAGACACATCATCAGGGACCAGTGCTGTTCACATCCAGAGGCATCCATGGGACTTGACACACCGGCGACAGGAGCAGCAGTGTAAAGAAAATCAGAAGTGAGAGAAGGAGAACTGGCTGGGAGGCACCCGGCTAAACAAGCACTGGGAAGATGGGGAGAAAAGAACTCAGTGTAGAAAGCCTATCACATTGGTAGCAAGTGGTCATCCCGTTCTTCAGACTCCTCACCCAGCTGGTCGTCCCCCACACCGCGGTACGCGGCTGGCGCGTTTCGAGGCTTGGATCGGCACACAAAGTCACAGCCGTCCTACAAGCACAGGACATGGCACCAGCATCAGACTCTGAAACTAGCTCAGCATCCAAAGCAAAGCAGCTCCTGGGACTTCTCTTTTGCTAAGGGATTATGCCTATTGCTCTGCTACCTAAGACATGTCCCCAAAACTTTGTCTTGACACAGAAACATCCTGCTCGGTCCTGAAAGCTCTGGGCATATTGATTAACTGTGCAGCAACATCAGGCCAAGGCAAGCATGAGGTATAAATGGCACTGCCTACGATGGCCAAGGGAGGGTTTCAGGGAGGTCGGACATGAGTATTTCAGAGTCCACAGGTGAACATTTCTCTTTGGAAAGCATTAACCCCTAATAAGCATGTGTTCTAGTTTGTTATGTAGCAGTTGCAGGATAGTGGCAGGGAATCAGTCTTGGCAAGGATTCAAAAATAGAATACTCAAGAGAAATGAAACAGATAACCTCTTCTGCTTCAAGGTACATCACTCTGACAGTAGGTCTACCCCACAGACACAGTCTGCCATTTTCTCCTAATACAGGGGCCAGGCTGGGAATATATAGGGATTTTCACTCACCGCCACCAAATTGCCCAGATCTTGCCAGAAGGCAAAGTGAGGAAACTGCTCCATGCCCTTTGCTCCCACTACAAGGCGCTGGTAGAGGAACCCACCAATGATGTAGACTGCAATCAGTGAGGCAAACCTGGAAGGCAGAATTAAAATAAATAAATAAATAAATAAATAAAAGCTGAGGAAATCCTATAGACAATCTCTTCCAAGCCAGCTACCTGCCTCATACTGGCATTAGAGCAAGTATCTGAGCACCACTCAAGAGCAGAGCTATAAACAGAAAACAGATCACAGAAGGTCCCCAAATTATCGATCTGATAGTATAAACCTTTTAGCAACATTATGTGAAGCAGTGCCTCTAAGCACACAGAAAATGAGTCAAGACTCCTGATCTGAATTCTGAGCTCTAGCAAAGAGCCATTATACATTTTTAGGAAGTCACATCTCCATGTTTTAAGTGTCTGTAAGCTATGAAGGAGACTGTTTACAGGGAACAGAGCAGCCCTGCTCTTGCTTTGAGCAAGATCTTTTGTCCAAAAAGCTCAGAGGCATCTAATGGTGGCTGTGGGTAGGTATACTACAATTAATTAGTCTACTATAGCATTTGTGAGGTTTCTAAATAGCACTGGAGATTATGGGCTAGGCACAAACAGCTCTTCCAATGACTCACGTGATCAGCAGAATGGAGCCAACGCTGAGGTGGGAATTCTCAGCTGGACAAGCCACACTGCTGTCCATCTCAAAGAGGTAGAAACACTCCTGCTCCTTTTCCCGCTCTTCAGAAATAATGCTGAATGAACTCTGCAATTTGTGAAAAGTTAAGTCATGTGAAAACATGCCCAGGCACATTGAACTTCACCAGGGGACAGTTCTATCACTGCTGGTGCAGCTAGGCAACAGATACTGGAGGACACCTCGCTGCCCCCTCAAAGCCCTTGTGCTTACAAACAACTACTTGTCTGGCAGCCTCCTGATCCTCTCCCACCTCATATGTCACTCACCGCTGTAACTCCCCGCTTGCAAGAAATCATTATCACAGCTCGTCTCTTCTCACCACTGCAGTGAGTGCCATATGAATCACCTCCTTTATAAATCAGCATGATCCAGTCACCTGCCAGGAGAGAAACCCACAGACTGCAAATCCAGATCAGGAGGCAAAAGGCAGCTGCTGAGTAAGAAAAGTGTGGAGCGGAATCTTACTTCCATTGAAGACCTGGGTTTCATTGATTCTTCCTATCACTGTGGTCTTTCCGTTCTGCCTATCTGTTTGCACCAGGCCACCATAATCATGCGAGGTGCTGTTGACCTCTCTGCACACCCTGAATTGGTAGACGTAGTCTTCTGTTTTGCCTTTATCCACAGTCACGTTAAACCTGCAGCAGGGAAAGGACAGAACAGACAACCCACTGGATTACTGGATTCTCAGAGCAGCAGGCACTTCAGACCTGCAAGAGTGAGAGCCCATACAGGTGCAGGAGCCCATTTTGCAGTCTTACCCCAAATCTTCCCCTCCTCCTGGCCCAAGGGCAGGCACTGCACAGCCCCAAGGCCTGCAGGGTGTTGTACTGTACCTCATGTGGCTCAAGGGCTCCAGTTTCTTCAGCAGGGCTCTTTCCATTTGTGACTCACTGCTTTCATCACCAATCACATCACAGCTCCTCTCTTCAGACTGCTCAGCCCCTGATACAGCCAGGGCCATAAAGACCAGCAGCAAGGCAGAGGTATGGCAAGGTGATGACATCCTGTACACAAGCCACAGAGAACACAGAGGATTAACTGTTTCAGCCCCCTGAAAACTAACTTCAGGGTCATGGAGTCAATGATTAGCCACTTCCTCAGTCCTGACTACAAAAAGGAGAAGTTGAAGTCTAGAAACAACTCACAGTTCCCCAGAGACACTAAATCTGAGTCTGTTGCATGGCTAAAGGCAATTCACTGGGCCCACTTGGGGCTCTTTTCTGAATTTTCCCTTGGGACCTCCAAAAGTTTTGTTGCTGAGCACACTAATTAGCTGCCAGATCAGAGTCCAGCAGGCTGAACACTGGAGTAATTTTCAGGCATAAACCACTGATATTGCATTGCACCAAGAAACCAGTCAGCAGAAAATTATTTATCAGGCCTCTAATCAATCCCCTTCAACAGATCTCATGTAGAGAGCTCACAGGAAAGACCCACTGTGATTAATCAGGCTCTGTTCAAGTGCCTTAATCTTAATAATTATCTTTCTAGTACTACTTTAGCTGAGAATCTAAAAGTGTTTAATAATGCTAAGCTGCAATTTCACAGAAGTTTTCTTCCGTTTACACAAGGGAAGGAGGAAAGCAAGACATCCTGTGTGAGATCCAGGCAACGAAGCTGTAATGAAGATGGTAATAATAATAAAATCTAGAAGACCTGGCTTTCAGGTTCATGCTAAAGTCACACACAAAACATTCAATGATCGCACCAGCCAACCAGAGCAGTACAACAGATTCTCCTGCCGCAGATTTTGGTAAAGCCCCACGTGCAGGCAGAAGGCAGCCGGCAGACCCTCAATTAAATAATCGCCCGGTTGCAGACGGGTACAGAGCCCATCTGACGGAACCCAGGGGTTTCCCCGCACCCCTGCCCGACACTGCCGAGCCCGGGGCCCTGCTCGCCGCGGGGGCCAGACGCCAACACTAGGCTAGAAACACCTAAACCCCCGAATCGGTCAGGTTGGAAGGAACCACAGCGGGTCACTCGGTCCAACCTCCTCGCACAAGCAGGGCCGTCCTAGAGCACAACGCACAGGATGGCGTCCGGGCGGCTCTGGAATATCCCCAGCGAGGGAAACCCGACAGCCTCCCTGGGCAGCCTGTTCCCCTGCGCGCTCGCTGAAAGCAGGAAGCCCGTGACACGAGGGCTCGTGACTCGTCTCTCCCGAGGCTAAAGGCAGGTCCCTGCCCCCAGCACTGGACACGGCTCCTGCGGGAACCCGCCGCGCGGCGCCGGGAGCGACTCCGGCCAGTCCCCCCGGCCGCTGCCCCGCGGCTCCCCCTCGCCGTGCCGTGCCCCGCTCCGCACCATCCCAGACCCAGTCCCGCGCACCCACCTGCGGCCGCCCCCGGGTCCTCCCCGCCGCGCACGGGCACAGGCGCCGCCGCCCGTAGGGAAGAGAGACCCGCGTATCACGGGTATCCCATGCTGGGCACGGACGACACCGGCCTCCTCCGCGTCCCGGCCGGCTCCCTCGCCGCACCGCAAGCCGGAAAGAGCGTGGCGGAACTGGCGCCGCCGCCAATGGGAGCCCGGGAGCCGCCGGGATCGCCCGCCCAGGAGCGGCCCCGCAGCGAATGGAGCGCGGCGGGGAGCGCCGGGCTGCGCCGGGCCCCGCCCACTTCCCTCCACCACCCAATGGGCGGGGCAGGTTGTGCCGGGGCCCCGCCTCCTATCGCTTCCTGTCCAATGAGCGGCGAGGACCGGCGGAAAGGGCGAGTTCTCAGGCGGGGGCGGCCTTTGGGAGGCAGTGGGGCGCAGTGCGAGGCAGTGGGATGCAGTCTCAAGGTGTGGGGTCGCCGGGCTCCCGGCTAGAAGTCACCTCATTCCAATGCCTTGTGACTTTCCCAGCTGGAAGTCGCGCTTTCCCCTCTTCTATCCCCCGTACAGCAGCAGGCGGGCTCCTCGGCGGCACCGCTCCCCTTACTCCCGCTGCCGGAGGTGGTGGTGGTCCAGCAGTTTGTCCTGGGGCTTTGCCGTCCCCACCGGGTGCCTCCAGGGTGTTAAACGAGCGAGGGGTCTAGACCAGTTCATAAAACTGCTTTGTGGCCTCGATCCTTCTGATTTTGTCCCTGCTTTGTGTCTACTGTGGTAGACTCTCTCCATCCAGTACGTTCATGTTTTGTTATACTTTAGAATCAAGACGTCTCTCACAGCTCCTGCAAGTTTTGCCACTGCAGAAGAATTCCAGGTCCAGCTGATAGTGCTCAAGGGTGGTGAGATTCATAAAGCTATAAATTATTTGAGACTGGCCCATTTAAAGGACGTTTATCTCCTGAAGTCATGCTCCCACTGCAATGATAAGAGTCCACTTTCCAGGGGTCTTTTGCTGGAAGGGACAGATGTTCCTTGTCAGAGTTCTGAGGCTTTTGCATCTCTTACTTAAGAAAGAAATGTGGTGTTTAGTGAACTCAGCAACATGCTAGAGAAGCCACTTGTTTGAGATGTTTGGAAGGTTTCCCCATGGTATGCTGCTCGAGCAGTGAAGAACTGGGGAAGGAGCATTGTTGGCTCCTGGAAAACTGATTAATTTAGTCCTGCTGTGATTCGACTGGGAGTATGGCACAGCTGCAGAAGTGAGACTTATTTATTCACACTTAGCTATTAATTGTGCGTTGCCTGCCCACCTCCTACGGTGTAACTGCTCCCTCTCTATTTCCTGTTGAAACTAAGAATTCAACTTACTACTGATATTTGAGAAAAAAATGGTAAACCGCATCAAAACAGAGCTCTTAATTCTATCTTGTGAGCCTTTGCTTCTCCAGTTCTTCAAAAATAGCACTGTCTTTTTGGTCACTCTGGCCCTACAGGCAGCCTGCGGGGCCTTTTCCCCTTGGTCTTGGCACTTAGGCTGTGTCTGAATCCTGATGGCTTCTTTTCAGCCACACAGATTGTATTCCCAGATAAGTTGTCCTTGTGAGTGTAGGAGCTCTCTGGGCTTGAGAGCTCTCTTTAGACTTCTGTATTATCCACTCAAAGTATTCAGGAGAGACTTTCTTCCTCTTCCTGCTGCCTTCTGCTTTCCCCTTCCCTTCAAGCACAGACTCCCTGTCTTGCTGTCTACAGGCTCTACGCAGGATTGGGAGGAATTCTGTCAGTGCTACATGCTGCTCTTATAGGCAAGTGGAGAAATTTGCAGAAATATCCGATTCCTGCCTTCCTAGACATGTGCATTGTAACAAATTGGCCACAACACTATATCAAACTAAGCATCCTCCCATGCAATCATTTCTCAAATTTAGAGCATGTCACCAGGATGCATAACAATCATCCCTGCTGAGAGTAGCAGTCATCTCAACTACTTTGTTGAGAATGCCCAAACAATGCTGGTAAACTGCCTGTACTCTGCTGTGCTGAAGATGTGCACCCTGAGCCTGGCAAACACCCCCATTCTGAGCATGAAATGGAAAGGATCAGGATCTGGATTAAAACAAAAATCAGCCAACCATGTGGCTAAGAGGTTTCTCAGGATGCTAGAAGCATCAGTACTCCCCACCATAGAATCAAAGAATCTTTTAGGCTGGAAAAGACTCTTAAGATCACCGAGTTCAACCATTAACCTGACACTGCCAAGCCCGCCGCTTAACCATGTCCCTAAGCTTCACACCTGCATCTTTTTTAAAAACTTTCACAGATGGTGATGCAACCACTTTCCTGGACAGCTGTCCCAGTGCTTGATAATCCTTTTGGTCAAGAAATTTTTCCCAACATCCAATCTAAACCTCCCTTAGTGCAACTTGAACTATTTCATCAGTGGTCAGTACTTCAAAAGAAAAGTATCTTTTCCTGTTATTGCTGACCACAGAGTCACTAAGTGATTGTGTTGGGAAGGGATCTCTCAAGGTCTTATGGTCCAACCCCCTGCTCAAGACAGGCCATCTACAGCCTGGTCTACCTACAGGCCAGGACTGCGTCCAGACAACTCTCTATTGAGGGAGGCACCTCAGCCTTTCTGGCCAACCTCTGTCAGTGTTTGATCACTCCCACAGTAAAAAAGTGTTTCCTGATGTTCAGAGAGAACACCTTCTGTGCCCATTGCTTCTTGTCCTGTCACTGGGCACCATTAAAAAGAATTTGACTCTTCTTGTACCCTTCCTTCAGGAATTTATATACATTAATTATATGCTCTCCAAGATGTCTCTTCTTCAGGCTAAACAGTCCCAGATCTCTCAGCCTTTCCTCATAGAAGAGTTGCTGCTTTTTGTGGCTCTTTGCTAGACTGTCTCCAGCATGTCCATATCCTGTTAAGGTGTTGACTCAGAGTCTTGAGGGATGCCAGCTCTCAGTACCTGCCTTGTGTCGCAAGCATATTCACACTGGTATTTGGTGTAGAAAGAGTTCTAGTAGAAGTGTCCAGAGCTCACAAGGCTTCCTTCTCAAACTCATACTGTCCACCTCTACTTCCCTTTTGACAGCAGCTGGGCTGCCAGTTTGCTGTAGCCATTGCTAATCTCAATTTTCATCTTGTGCCCATGCTATTCACCTTCTTACCTTGTGCTCTCATTATCCACCTGCTTCTGCCCCTGAAAGGAAGCTCCTCAGAGCAGCACACATCCTCCCAGTTACTGCCTCCGTGTAACCACACCCTCTTGCGTTGGCAACAGTTAGAATACTCATGAGTTTGGTGATTAATCACCTTTTCCACTAGCAGTTATTCTTAAAACATCCTTCATCAGATTAGGAAATGGAAGTTGCTAGAGTTCCACTGCTTTCCATTCTGTTGTAAATTTGGTTATCTTGGGCAGCTGGAGATGGAGGTTGCAACTTCACATTTCTTAGTCTTTTGAATATAGCCTCAGGTTTCCTGTTTCGCAGGCGTGGAGCCCTGTTGTTCAACAGCCTGATCGAAACATCTTGTGTGCACTCTTTGCTTTGGCATGGAGGGAAGCAGATCAGAAACTTCTGCAGCTGATGTGAGTGAGGAGGTAACGTATATGTCTGTCAAATTCTCTCAGGCTTCTCCGCCAAGGGCCAAAGCTTCACAGAAAAAAAGAGGTAAGAAAGCCAGGTGAGGTCAGTCAGCAAAAGATTTTATTTTGAGTGCAAGCGAGATCTAACAGAAACTCTCAGCTGGCTACTGATTTTGAGTGCCAGTTCAGGGTGCTGTTGCTTTGGTTCTAAAATTACTGTGAATATTTTAATGTGAAAAAAGCTGATGGGTTTGAGACCCAGGATTGTTCCCCTCCCTCTTTTTTCAGTGTCTACTCCTGGGCATTCAACCCAGGCATCCTTTTGTCCACAAGAGATTTAGAGTTGTCTGCTTGTCAGCAATAAGGGATTGTGAGCATTAGTACTTTGAAGGGCAGGCAAGATGCGAATACAGATAAATTAGAGGCATATGGTAATCAGAGATCAGAGACAGAGAAGGCATATGATATCATGCAGCGTCTCTCCCCTGGGGCTACGAAGGATTCTTTTGTAATAGATTTTTTTGTGTTTTCTGTGTTCTAGTTTTATATGCCTCCCAGTGAGCAAATTTTCAGCTTTTGCCTTGAGACAGTTCTGCAGGGAATCTTACTATCAGGAAGATTTTCTTGGTGCTTTCCTAAAATTTTTCCTTCCCTTATTTTCTCTCCATTACCCCTGATAGGCGTATTCAGTGTCACATTGAGCAGTTCCTCTGGCTGTTTAGTTGAGAAATGTCACCTTAGGAGAGTGAGATTTTGCATTGATGGTCATTCTTTGTAAGTGTCTCCTTTGTAAGGCCAGGAGGGGTTGGAACTGCATGATCTTAATGTCCTTTCCAACTCAAACTGTTCTATGATTCTATGAAATGCCTGTGTACTTCAGACGAGTTGTGTTGCATTGGCTGCAACACTAATGGTTCACCTTAATTTTTTTCAGAGCTGTTACAGCAGAGGGGCTCTTACTGTGGGATACAAGATTTCTATGCCCTGGTCAGAATAATTGCATATACCTATGGTGGTTACTGCTGCCTGGTCACTTGCTGCATGATGAGAAAAACGCCAGCACAGAAACCCCCAAGTTTCTCTCCAGTACTCACTCGATCCACTTGGAAAGCAGTCTTGCTCTTGCATGTGTTTTCATCTGAAAACACAGTGACATCTCTTGAGATGTTTGCATTTTTCTTTTTGATATTCCTCCTTTCCACAGCCTTTTATGTACCCTCCTCTTTTTGAGCTAAAGTCAGAGAGCCTAAAATAAGGAAGCTGATCTTTGAACACACTTTCTGTGCATATTATTTGATTATTTCTCAGCTCTCTTCAGCATTCAAGGGGTCCCTAAGGAGCTCAATTTAAGTACCTTCCTTTAGAAGATCTTCATATTCAACTCTGTCCCTGCCTCCATCACTTTTGAGAGATGATCTCTCAGGCATTTTTTCTCTGTTCAAATGCACACCCTTGCTGACTTTGTATTCATCTCTGTGGCACACTATCACGGGTGTACAGATCAGTCCTCTGGTTAAACAAACAGGTTTTGACTCTTATGGACTCCTCAGAAACAAAGAGTTGCCTTGGTTGTGTCTTCTATTTGGCTTCCAGAGAGTCTTAGATATGCTGCAGTACCAAAATGTCAGTCCAGCAGTCACTTAAGACAGTGTTAGCCTGTGTGATGTGTTTGTCATTTCTTTTTTTCTGCAGTTGGTCTAAAACAATAGAGAACTGCTCTATTCATTGCCGGGAGGCACCAGCTCTGGTGCCCGGTGCTGACATTTAAGGATTAACCTTTTCACGGACTGTCATCCCACCCTGGTCCTGGCAGTAGTTTTCCTTAAAATCAGTAACAGTGATCTGAAGGATCCACGAGATAGCTTCTTTGGAGAGGCAAGAGAGGAAGAAAAACAGAAGTGCAAATCCTCAGAAGTATGATCTCAGAACCAAGAGATATGTCTCAACAGATATTTATCTCCTTTTACTTAGTTTTCAGTTGTAATCTGCAGAGAAGAATCTCCACCCTATCCCTTATCCTCAGGCTGACGGCATTCTCTTGAGGCTTATTCTGATGACAAAACCCAAGTCACCAGAGATAAAAACATGACCTTACAAGAAGAATAGAGAGCAGAGTCAAAGTTCAAGTTCCAGATCCAGTCCAAGTCCTACAGTTCTCCCATTCTCTCTCCTTGTGTGAAGCCAAAGAGTATGTTGTAACTGAAAAGTCTTTCTGTGTTTTGCAACTGGAGGCGGGGGTTTGTTATTTAATAATGTGTTTACAAAATAAGAAATATAATTTTTCAACTATAATTGGGCAGCTAGAAGTCCTACAAGCTTCAGGAAATATGACAAAACCTTTATCTTAGAAAAGATCTTTACACCAAAAGGATGATGCTTACAACCAAGCTCCCTCGTGCTCCCCCTTGTTACCTTCGAAACTTCTAGCCAAAACTGCAGGTCTAAATATATTGCTAAAAATGAGAAAATGGCCTTAATATTAGTGAGCCTGCAAACTGCTCAAGATAAAAATGAATTAGTATTTATTACTTTACTGACTTGGTCTACTTTCTTGCACAAAGCTTCCCATGTTTAAAGGACACATTCTTGTTTTCTAAGTTAAGTCCCTTTCCCTTCTGTTTTAGCGCTGGCTTTCTTTGTCTTTCCCACACTATTCTTGATATGTGATATGCATTTGTTTTCAGCCTCCACCAGGAGATCAAATGTGTTTCTTTGGGTCTTTGTGACATGACCAAGAGAGAAACACCTCAAATTTCATGAGATCCAATGGGGACTTTGCTTCTGGATTTGAGTGGAAGGCTCTGGAGCATCACAAGAGCAGGATGTAGTACATAAATTAACTGCACATTTACTGCTTCTTAGAAAGTCCTGTTGTCTGTGCTGCTATCATACTGAGATTAATAAAACAAGCAAACCAAACTCCCATGCAATTCATCTGTGGCAGTGTCATCCTCTCCTGAGCTGGGGAGAGAGGAGATTTTAGTGCTGGGATTTCAAATGCTTTATGGAAAGTGAATGCCTCTCAGGTCAAACACAGTTCCAGGAGATGGCAACAGGAAAGAAACATGCAGCCTGGATGTTAACATGTCCTGCTGGACATGAGCAGATCTCTACATGTCAGTCCTGACCAGCCCTATGAAGGGAAGCTGTGCTGGGCTACAGTGGAGGCTGCTCCAAGTGGAGCCACCCTCTGCCAGTGGCAGCAAGTGAACAGCAGGTGGTGGTGGTGAAATTGTGGAGGGACAGTCATCCAAAGGTCTTCAAGGCTGGCTCTCTCACCCTGCCACCCCACCATGGAAGAGGCAGATGAGAACATAGAACTGACTTGGGAGTATCCTGGGAAGATGTAACATGACCATATGCCTAAGCCTGTGAACAGGATGCTAAGATTAAACCTGTTGCTGTTGCTGAAAGAGCTGGGAGAAAACCTTTTGGTTTCTTTTTATATTTAAGCTGCAACATGGTGGCTGTAGCAATACAGCTCTGGTGTTTCCACCCCAAGCTTCAATGCTGAGGCAGGAGTGGGTTTGTTGGGAGGCTCGTGCTAGCACAAGGCTCCACATGTTGCCTGGGGGGGCTCCAGCTGACTTGGGGTCAGCCACCACAGGGGCTGGACCAGCCATCTTTGTGGCCAGGAAGGGGCAGAGCTGGGGCTGATGGGGAGACAGGCACCTTCTGGGAAGCTCAGGCAGGGACTGATTGCCCCAAGCCCAGCTGAAATGGGACCCTGGGCCAGTGGGCAAGGGCATGGGGAGGCCCCAGGTAGGCTGGGCAAGGACAGTGATGTCGGCTATGTGCACCCAGGGTGTAGACAGTGATGCTCTAAAGAGCTCAGTTCTTTATGGAAATGTCCAGGACAAAGCAAACTGTGTAAAACCATGGTCGGTTTTCATGTGGCTGCTGTTCACTATGATTTCTTTTCTCGTTTACAGCTCCCCGTCTGTGGTCAGCAGTTGTGCTGGGCTTGGCTATAGGCTTTGGGATACTGAGCATCTCCCTGGCAATTGCTTTGATTTGGAAGATGAGTAAGTGCACAAGGCATTGCTGAGAATGAGCAACCAAAAGCAAAGGACTGGAGACTTATCTAAGTAGAGGAGCTCCATTATACGGGGTTAAACCAGAAGCTATTCTAGGTTTCTACTAGCCTTATGTACCCCCTGCCTATCCAGAATATTTTGAAGAATATATTCCTTGTGCAGATCACAGGCAACCGATTTCAGATCCTGCGGCAAAGAAAATGAAACATACTGCAAAGCTGTTGTAGACTTGCTGGCTGTAATTATAGTGTTAAACTGTAGAACAAATGTGAAAGGTCTGTAACACTTCTGCATGCATGCAGAAGGTGCTAGACCATGTGGAGAAGCCTAGTGTTATCTGCTTAAAATCCACTCACCTGATGTGTGGCATGATCACACTGTACCCACAGAGTGTAATCTGCTTTCAGATAGCCAGTTTTAGTTACTGGGTGTCTAAGTAGTTCAATGGAAACCTGTGTGTGGGTGGGTGTGTATGTGTGCTTGCACCAGCACCAGAGTGCACGTGACTACTGTTAGAAGATTTGGAAACTGCACAGACAATCTGTGTTCATGCATTGTTGTTTTCAGATGCTTGTGTGTTCTGCATTGCAACTGTCCAGAAGAGTTGCTTTTCAGTAGGTCCTTGCTGACAAGTGTCTTTCTGTTGGTTAATGATAGAGAAAAGCTAGTATTTTGTCTTTTTTTACAGGTGACTCCTACCCACACTGCCCTGAAGAGTGGTTGGCCTACAGAGGGAGCTGCTACTCCTTCTCCAAGGAGGAGAAGGACTGGAATTCCAGCCAGGTATCCTGCTGGTCACAGGGAGCTCACCTCCTGGTCATCAGTGATACCTGGGAAATGGTAATGGTTTTCTTAGCCTTTGAGGATCTCCCATTTCCTTGCAGATGCCTAAGTGACTGATATCCAAGCAGTGATGTCACTTCAGCAGTATTTTGGCTTTAAATGAGAGGAAGGATTTATGACTGATGTTACAGTGCGCTGCCATTTTCAGTATACACCTCAGAAGTTTGCAGGAAGCAGAGAAGCAAGGGGGAGAAGGGAGAGATGAGGATCACTGTCAGCTACTCAGAATCATCCTATGAACAATGTCAGGAGACAACCTTTTCCACTGCTCCTCTCCACCTCCCCTCCTATCCTCAATAAGGCTGATCGAGTGACTACAGGAAATGACTGTGACACTTGACAGTCACGCACGCATTGCTCACAAACCAGTACGTCCCCACTCTCAAGGAATGCTTCCTTTTCGAAAGCGATGCTTCTCCTCCCTGCAACCGCTCCAGCTCCTCCTACTCAGTGACCCTTGCCATTCCCTGTGTTCATGCATGGATATTTCTTCCTCAGTCTCTTTTTTCAATGCTTACTTCCTCTCTCTGCCAAAATACCTCAGTTGTGCTGGTGAAAGGAGGAACCATCTGTTCCACTGCAGGTGCTCACTGCGGGCAGGGCATGTATGGTCACTAAAGAAAGGGCTAGTGCTGATTAATGGGGCACTGAGGCACATCTGCTTAAGTAGAGCAGAAGCCCTTGATCTGGTTTTGCGCAAGCCAGGGCTTATTAGATCGGGTCCAGTGAACGTGGACAGCTTCCAGTCCCTGGACAGAAGTTGCATTGTATGATGTTCTGTGAGGGCTTACAAATCCAGGTCTCTGCTTGACTGGGACTATGTACCAGGCTCTCACATTTGCTTAGACAAATCTGGATTCCTTAAGAAATAGGCATCCTCCCCAGATTACCCATTTCTCTGCATAAAGAAATCCTTCCTAGTCTGGCTGCTTTCTTACTACTATCTTTGCTGCTCGAGTGTTACCCATTATCCCTGCTCAGACTTACCCATCTAAGTGAGACTCTCCTAGCTATCCATGTCTTATGCTGCAAAGGCTGTGACTGCTCAACCTCTGTGTGCCAGGGAAGCGCAATCACGTCCAAACCACCAGCAACACTCAAGTAGTTCCTCAAGCTGCTCCTATTCCCACGACTTTACCAAGCTACCTTTGTTAGAGCTTCTCAGTGAAGATGTCTTCTCTGAAGCTTTGTTATGGCAGCAGGAGATAAGGATGGAGCACAGCCATACAACTGAAAGGTTGCTGTTCTTTGGTTTCATTGCAAAGGTGGGCAAGAAAAACGTACCTCTCTTGGCTTTGGCTTTTTTTTTTTTTTTTTTTTTTTTTTGGAGGGAAGAGAGGGGCAGGGGATTTACTTCAGGGCTAACTTTCTGTTGCAGGCTTTACCTTTTAACAATAAACAAGACTTAAAATTTAGCCAAAAGGAAACGAACATTGCAAAAAACTAAGAGGAAAGTTTGTATAAAATTTAAAGAGCTTTGGTCCTGGTTTTATTACACATCTGTCAGTGCCTGCACTTCCTGCCCTGCCCTGATTTTACCTGTAATTGTTAATACTTTGTAGTAGCTTGCTAGCTAGCTCTATGGTAGAGCGTTAATATTAATTCTAATAGCAAACATTCCTACATAAAGTGTGTAGGAAACTCCAGGAGACTGGGGTGCACTTCATAGAATCATGGAATATGCTGAGTTGAAAGGGATCTATCAGGATCATTGAGTCCTACTCCTGGCTCTGCACAGGACAGCCCCAGGAATCACACCGTGTTCCTGAGAGCATTGTCCAGAGACTTCTTGAACTCAGACAGGCTTGGTGCTGTGACCACTTCCCTGGAGAGCCTGTTCCAGGGCCCAACCATGCTTTGGGTGAAAAACCTTTTCCTGGTATCTAACCTAAACCTCCCCCTACTCAGCTTCATGCCTTTTCCTTGGGTCCTGTCACTGGTCATGGGAGTAAAAGGATCTGTACCATCCCCTCCACTTCCTCTCATGAGGATGCTGAAGACCCTAATGAGGTCTCCCCTCAGTCTCCTCTCCTCCAGGCTGAACAAACCAAGTGACCTCAGCCACTCCTCATACAGCTTCCTCTCCAGACCCTTCAGCATACTCATGACCCTTCTCTATATGTCTCTAATAGTTTACTATCTTTTTTATATTTCGGTGCTCAAAACTGCACGCATAACTCGAGGTGAGGCCGCCCCAGTGCAGAGCAGAGCGGGACAATTCCCTCCCTTTGAGCAGCTGGTGATGCTTTGCCTGATGCCCCCCAGGACACAGTTGGCCCTCCTGGCTGACAGGGCACTCATATCCAACTTGCATATTCAACAACAGTTGTTTCTTGTATACTGCCCTGAGAAATGTCCTTTGAAGAATCTCCTCAGGACTGCTGAAAGCATGCTTCCTTGTGAGTGTACACACAGTTTTTATTCCATGCATGATTTGCAAGGCCGCTCTTCCTGAATAGAAGGTGTGGGTAAGCATATTGTCAACCACTTAAGGAACAATCAGGCAAAGGGATGTATCTTGCTTTCTGTTCTCTTTACTTATCCTGACCTCCATTATCTGCCTGGCTTTCTTAGTCATTAATCACTTTGTAATTCATCATCATTTCTAGGATCTGTTCAAGCGTATTCAAGCACATTGTTTCTGGATTGGACTGAAGAACAGCACAACCTCTGGGTGGATTTGGGTGGATGGCTCTGTATTCAATTACACCAAGTGAGTTTTATTCTATTTTAAAAACAACAGTGCTAATTCAGATTGCCTGGTGTTCCTCAGTACTCCAGATCTCAGGACCTTTCTTCCTGGGCAGATTTTCTTCTTCCTGTCACCTGTACTGCAGTAAGCTCAATATGGTCTCCTTTTTACTGTACCTGTGAAAGCAGGTCTAATATTAGTATTTCACTCTCTAGTTCCCACCAGCTGCTCAGACCAAGGATTTTATTTACCTGCACCTCCCAAAGAGATGCTCGATCAGAAAGGCATATGGCTTTACTGGGTTTAGTCACCTTGCACCAATTCTGTCAAGTGCTGATGTCACTAGGTGTGAGGACCCAGCCTTTTGCTGCTGCACTGGTGCCAACCCAAGTCAGAACCTTAATTTCAGCTCAGTCTTTACTTGGACAAAACTCAGCATTTTGCATGAGGGAAAATATTGACTTTGCCTGGCCTTTCCTTTTTATGGCAGTTAAGACAGTGAGTTAGTTTCTAATGCCTCTTCAGCGAGGAGATTCACCCAAGATCTCATTGTCATAGATTAAAATCTAGCTTTCTGTTCTTACAGATTTCTTGGAGGTGATCATCTTTCCATGAAACACTCAGCACTGCCATTCTCATGCTGGTAGATATCACTGCCACTACAAGGCATCATGTCTATGTTTCATTCTGATTTAGGTTCCACAATGGCAAAATTACTTGGTAGTGGCAGGAAGATGGGTTCTTTAGCGTACATTTTATTTTCTAACAGCTGCCTTTTGGAGGTTGGGTTCTTTCATTTCCTCTGGGCTACACCCTTCACAATCACATGTTTTTTCTTGCCTCCAGGAGACAATCAGTATTTTCTCTCAGTCTGACTTCTGTTCTATGTCTCTTGCAGAGTCCTCTTTAACAGCCACGTGCAAAACTGTGCTGTTCTGAGGAGAGGTCAATTTCATGCCTCCAGCTGTGAATTTCGTACTCCATGGATCTGTGAGAAATCTCTTAGATAAATCCTATGTGCATTTTCATCTCGTAACGATCTCATCAGTGGTATGAATTGATCATTGTCCTGCAAACCAAAGCGTCACACAAGAGCAAGGACTTGCCTTTTCAATATCATCATAAAGGTGTTTTACAAGGACAATTTTGTTGCCCATAAATGTGAGTTATCCTCAGTGGTAGATTTGTTCTCAGTCCACATATGTTAGATTGCTGCTGTTTGTGACCAGATGAGACCTCAGACGTATTCCCAGGCTAGTCTTTCCCTATTTGTCCTATAAGAGCAAACAGAAGCTTTGTCACAACAGGTGTCTTCAGATCTTTTATGGTGAGCTATTCATTTTCCTTCAATTTTGAGCATCAGATTTCATTTCCATTCCCTGCATCTCCATTGTCCGACATCAGAAGGACTGGGAAAATGAAGCCTGATGCTCATTGACAGAAACATATAAACAGATTTCTCCAAGTGACAGCCTTTCCCTTTGCATCCAAGTGCTATGAGTGGGATAGAAGAGGGTGACATGAAATTACAGCTTCTGTAAATCCAGCACAGAAAATAAACCTCTGGTACTGCCCTGGACCAAAAGCGTGTACCTGTGCCATTACTTCTTTCTGTTGGAAGGAACTAGTTGCAGGCCATGTTTTATAGGCCAACTTTAACCAAACTAGTCAAGAGGCAGGAGTCAAAGGAATACAGTTAATTGTGTGAAATTCAATCAACCAAGAACATGTTTTCCTCCCCGCTACTGCAGTTTCATACTGCGTAGAGAGGAAGCAGTGGACAAATCCTTAACAAAAGGAACTTTCATTTCAAATAGAGCAGACAGGCTCAGAGTTTGAACAGCATATTAAGGATTGTACAGTAGGTTGCATTTCCACACAGCTGGAAAACTTTTTAACACACATTTTATTTATTCCAACAAAGGAAGAGAAATGTTATTAATTTTCAATTTACCCTCTTTATGGTAATATATTTATATTACATTTCAATTTACTATTATCAATTTAGCCTTTGTCTGGAATTGCAGCCAGAGCAGTAAGTCTGACAGGACTGCCTGATGGTGGGTGGTCCTGATGCAAAGTAATGCTATTACTCAGTCTGTAGGTTTGACTGACGTGCAGGCTGCTGAGCCCATATGAATGACCTCTGAAGAACACACAGCAACCATGGCCCGCTCTGAGCATTCACCTCACTATGCAGATACGACATGGTGCACAGATGTGTTTCCGTAGGGATTTCCCAAACAGAAAACTTTAAGCCTTGTCTTGGCGAGCAGCAGGTTCATGATAGATGTTGCGAGGTGTGTGTTTGTTCTGGCAAAGACAGGCTGGAGAAATGGGCTGACAGGAACCTTGTGAAATCCAACAAGGAAAATGTCAAAGTCCTGCAGCTGGGAAGGAACAGCTCCATGCACCAGTGCATGCAGGGGACCCACCTGAAAAGACTCTTTGCAAAAAAGGACCCATGGGTCGTTGAGAGCACCAGAATGAATGTGACCAGCAGTGTGTCCTTGTTGCAAAGGAGACAAATAGTGTCCTGGGCTGCATTAGACAGAATAATTCAACAGGTTGAGGGAGGCCATCATTCACCTCTACCAAGCACTGGGGAGGCCACGCTGGGAGCACTGTGTGCAGTTCTGAGCTCCTCAGTACAAGAGAGACATGGACATACTGGGGAGTCCAACGGAGGGCCACAAAGATGATGAAAGGACTGGAGCTCATCTCCAGCATCTATGAGGAAAGACTGAGACAAGTGGATGGTTTATTCTAAAGCAAAGAAGGCTGAGGGGAGATCTTATTCATAGATTCATAGAAGTCCAGCAACCAACTTTAGCATTTCAATTCAGACTCTGTACAGTTTACAGTTGCTTCATATTTTTATTCTAATTAGAAGGAAACCCCTAGCAGCTACCAGTGGCATTATCTTCCATCTACTTAATAGGATGTAACACATGAAGGTGTCAAGGCAGATGAAGACAAACATATGGATCTTAGCACACTCAGCTAAGTGGATACCTGCTGAGTCTTGTATAGAGTTTACTGAGCTCAGAGTCTTAAGGTGGGAATGTTTCCAGCAACAATGGATCTGTTTTTTGATAACTGTGCCTGCAACAGTAAGACCTGAGTAATCTGCAGTCTACTGGGAGGTGAGAACTTTTTTTCATATTGGATTGTCTGTGTTACTTTGGGTAAGTCATTTTGTCTGTGCCAGAGTCCATTCAACTATCAAAAATAGTTGTCCCTCACTCCTAGAAATCTGAGCGGCCCTACGAAATAGGGCTGGAGATTTTACCTGCTTTGTCAAAATGATGGTGGGATCTGCAGAAGGAAACTTAATAGTTACCTTACCAGAGAATCCCAGTGAAGAGACAGATTCCTATATTATCATGACATTTGTAGGCAAGGTGAGCATGTCCCTGAGCTTGCCTAGTTTACCTTGTCAATAGGGGAACAGCTATGCCTCCCCAAGGATTCTATGGTGCAGGGCATATTATAATTTATTATATAATATTGATATTTTAATATATTAATATGTTAATCTTTAGCTCTTCAAACATGGGCTCTCAATCTTATCCCAAAGAGATGCTCAGGAAATGTAAAATAAATAAATACATTAGATTGCCTCAAAAGTTGAGCATTCTTTGAAGGGAAAGGATTTTTTAGCTGTGGATTTTACTTTCAACAAAGCACATAGCACCTCTCTGGATTCAAGTTTTTGTAATACTAAAGCAATTTGGAACAAATATATTCATTTCCATGGAAAACAGTTGAACAAGTATCTTTATCAGACCTTTTAATCTTCTATCTAGAGCATGTTGATATAGTTGATTGATACATACTGGTTTTCTTGGAAGCAAATTCTTTTTGTATGAACTCTGTAAGCCATCATGAATGAATACTGGAGGAGCATGGCTAGCAGATTGAGGTAAGTTACAATCCTTATTCTCCATGTCATTTTTGAGGCTGCACTTGAACTCTGTCAGGTGTGCTGACCCCCAGTTCAAGAGGAATGTGGAGAAATTGGAGGTAGTCCAAAGGAGGACTGTCAAACTGGTCAGAGCGTGAGGAGCGGGAAAATTCATTGCTATGGGGAGTGACAAGGTAGGCAAAACTTGTTTAGTGTGATCAAGACAAACTGTAGTGATTAAGTAACTGCCTACAAATACTTGAAGGGCAGTTACAAAGATGTTAGAGCATGAATTTTCCTGGTAGGGGCAGAAGATACAATGTGGGGCAATGGCCACTGCAGCTTTGGGAGTTCAGATTGGACACAAGGAAAGACATCTTCACCAGAGATTAGTGCAACACTGGAACACATCACGGGGGAAATAGTAGGCTCTCCATCCTCAGAAGTTTTTAATAACTGATTTGACAAAGTCACAGCTGACAGCACTGGCAGCAGTCCTGATATAAGTGAAAGGACAGACTACATAACTTCCAGAGCTCCCTTGCAACCAACACTTCTGTGACTTCTGTGATGCTGTTCATGAATGGAACAAGATTCTTGGTTTACAAAAAGGATACTTAGTGCTGGTTTTGTGCAGTTGGGGCACCTTTAAGCTATGCCAAATGACAGAACTTCAGATTCGCTGTGAGAAATCTCAGAAAGACACTACTAAACCATACTCTCCTCATGGATAGGTCAACACTTTGCAGGAGTTTTCTTGAGAATTTAAGCACTTAAAATCTAGCCAAAAATGTCTAGAAAACCTGTTTGCTTTCTCAGTTGTACTCAGAGCAAGTAGAAATGGCAGGGGAGAGCAGGAAAATTCATTGCCACTGCCTTGTCTGTGCCACCTCCTACAAGCTGAATTGCATGGGCTTTGAGGGCAGTTTGGTGTCTGTGCATGTTAAGTGTACCTACTGGGATTCTCAAGCCTTTGAAAACTTGTCCCCTTCAATGGACTGAAATAATTTCTCTTCAGTTTTTGGCTACAAGAGCACATTTTTGACCAAGATTCTAATGATCAAAACCTGGCTTGGGAGCAGTATGAGCTGTTTGGCTATTTGACAAAAGGCATTCCATGCGTAGTTCTGCACCTTGTTGCTGTAAGGTTTATGTTCAATCAGTCCAGCTCCCAACCTGTTTGAACCAATGTAATCTTCAAAAAGGCTTTGACCACCCGATGTACAAATCCTCTTCTCTGTGGGTAAGGCAGTCTTTACTGGGTTACATTTCTTTTGGACAGGCAAAGCGACCTTTAGGCATCAGATGGAGAAGGAAAAACACAAATATGGGCTGTCTTTTTGCAGTCCCCAAGGAAACCGGACGCTACTATCCTCTTGTTTCCTATGCAGATCACTGCAGGGCAGAATGTGGTCTGTAATGAAGATTTTTTACTGCACTGCACTTGGATTTCTTAACTCCAAAGTTCCTGAGTTTATTTCTGATGATGATAGTAGGAGAAGGGAAGGACAGTCAGAAAATCATTTTATCCTGCACACTTTTTAATCTGAAAATTAAGCTTTGCATCCTCTGACATAGATCTCCCAAATTCTACGGAGTTTGCATTAGAAATATAAGTTAGGCAGATATTCTACTCTCACTTACAAGGGTAATAATTACCAGAGCTATTGATCTTCCTACTGCAGACCAAGGTAAAGACAGTAAAGACAGCGGTCAAAAAACCCCATTTCCCTCTGTTAAACAACACTGCCCATCACAGTGCATTACATGGATTTTCACCTAATTAAACCAGGACAACTCCATCAAACAGCAATAACTTGATCTAGATGTACCAATAACTTGACCCGGAACAACAACCAGTACAGGGAAATAAGACCCAGGCCACGTATGTTCTGCTGTGTAGGGGTAGCTGCTGCTCTGGGGAACTGGTTAATGTGTTACATGCTGTTAATGAGTTGAACTTTTGGCAGCTTCCCATCATGTCACTGTCCCTGTTTCTGTCAGGGTGAAGGCCAGATTATCTTAGATGAATTGATGTTTCAGGCACTCTCTGGCCCCTTTTCCTGGCATTAGCTTTGATGGCACCAGGAATGGAGACCACAAGGGAACAGAGTGGGTGGAGGGGGAAGGTTTTTATAGTTTAAATTCCCTGTTTTCAAAACCTTCCTGTAAATGATGGTTAGGCACACCCACTCATGTTTCCCAAATCCTAGCCCAATCTACTGCTCCTAGTTTGAAGGAAATCAAACAGCACCTGCTCCTCCAGCAGCCTCCATGACCAGTGCCGTGTCCAGCTCCATACGGGGAGCCCTGCCCGAAATGGAGGCCATGCCCTCATCCTTTGCTGTTAGCCCTTTCTTTCTCTAGTCACCTCCTTTCCTCTTCCATGGCCTGCTGCCCTGCCTCAAAAGAGACACTGCTCCAGCCTGCCAGTAACCCTCCCCTCCCTCTCTCGCCCAGCACCTGGCCTTCTGCCTGGACTTGGAGCTGCTAGTTCCAACTCCTCCTTACTGCCTCTCCCTGTTTCCGGATCAGCCCTGGCCCCCAGCCCTTATCTCCTCCAGCCCCTGGGCTGTTTGTGAAGGAGACTATAAAGGGCTTGACTAGTAGAGCAGAGGGGGAGTAAAAGCAGCTCCCAACAACACTGGGTGTCTGCTTGACTCAGCACGTCCTGCTCTGCACCATGGGGAAGAACAGGCTGCTCATCAAGCCAAGCATCTTCCTGCTTCTCCTCTTCATCCTTCTGGGAGACACCTCACCCATCACAGAGCCGTAAGCTATGCAGGGGGGTCTCTGGGCAGGCAGGAGACTGGAGTTGTATTCCTGTGTCTATTGCTTTTCCCCTTATTTTCTGTGTGCTTTCTTTTACCCAGGAATAACGACACTAGGGCTGGGTAAAGTGCCTTCTACAGACAGAAACTCTAGTGCTTCAGAGAGACCCAGAACAATATGTGGAACTGAGATATCAGTAAAACTTCAGGGCAAAACAAAATAACAAAGAAAGGAAGAGGGAAAGATCTATGAGAATACCTTTTGCTGTTTCAGTGAATTAATGGGATTTCAACAAAATTTTCTGCAGAAAATCAGTTCTTTTGAAAGACAACTTTTTATAACTGTTTGTACAATGCATTCTTAAGAGAGAGACTGTTTTGAAGGTTTCATTTTGGGTACCCTTCTCCCTAGGTACCTTACAAAAATTTATTTTGAGTACCCTACTCCCAGGGTGAAATTCCCAGGACTTGGGAGTGGTTTTCTTGATTGATAACGAGAAGAGAAGGAACAAATAACAGGTCTGGGATGCTCAAAAATGGCTCTATATTTTAATTAACATTTTTCAATTCAGCCAATGGAATGAAAATTCTTTTCTCATCCAGGGTTATGTGGCATGGTAAGACTGTGACTGTTCAGGTCTGTGAGGACAAATTGTGCCACATCCCTTCTTCACCCCCTTTTGCCGTGTTTGTATGCGAAGGGAGTGTGTGTTATGTACATGTGTCTACACGTATGGCAGAAGCAGTGTATGAGGGGTCCTGACATCGCAAAGACTTTCTCCTTTGGCTTTTTGGCAATGTCTTTTCCTCCCTCACAAAGCACAGAGCACCTCACCCATCACAGAACTTTAAGCTATGCGGGGAGGTTTCTGGGCAAGGCTGTGCTGCTGTGTTTTCGTCGAATGCAGGCGAAACAGGCAGTGGGGTCAGAGGGACCAGGGCTTTCTCCTTGCAGACTGGTGATGGACATAAAAGCACCAGAGCCTCTCCTATTGCTGAAGGGAATGCTCTGCCTTATTGCTGAGGTGTTGAGGGCACTTCTCCCATCTGCTCGCTGCTCTGGATATGCCCACCAGAGGCCAGTCCTTGCCCACCTAAAAGTGAGCACAGTTGGCATTAGGCAGATCAGATTTGATTCCCAGATGCAGTGCTGGGCACCAAGACACCACTGGCAAGTTGCCTCACTGGGAAGGGAGGGACAGAGGGAGGGAAGCTGTGTAGGACTGAGCAGGGATCCCCTGGTGAGCTGAGACAGAGAGGCTTGCTTGCCTGAAAACCTGAAATTTGCTCCAGTGTTATTGCTTAAGATCTGGCACCACGCTGTGGCAGTTTTGAATCTCTGTTAGGAATGAGAGTAGTGTTACAGATGCTTTGAAGCGTATAGTCAATGGCACTTATTCACTGGATACTGGCACTTGCGTGGCTCCTGAATCCTACTAACAGGGTCTAGCAAAGGTGACAATTGATGTTTCCCCCCCCGCTGGAATTAGTCAGGGTCCCAGGAAGAAGTGCTTCTGTTGTGCCAGAACCTGGAAAAACACAACCCTTCCAGATGTTTTCATTGAGGATTTCCTCTGGTATTTTACATTGGGACTGGCCTCTGTGCTTTCCCAGACTGTTTACAGACATGCAGGAAATCTTGTTACACTCCTAGAAAATGCACCTCTCTCCTTGTACAATGAAGGCTGTTGTCATCAGATTGGTTTATTTGTTCTTTATGTACAGCTTCTCTTACCTGTTCCTGCCTCTCTGACCTATCTGTCTCCTCTCTTCCTAGGCAGTATATGGTGCTACTGCCCTTTGTGATACACACGGATTCTCCTGAGAAAGTCTGTGTTCAGCTGACCCACCTGAATGAGTCTGTGACTCTGAGTGCCACACTCGAGCATCAAGGGGAGAACAGAAGCTTGATTGATGATGTGGTGTCAGAGAGGGACGTGTTCACCTGCATCCCTTTCTCTGTGAGTACCTCATCCTTGTGGGATGATTCTTTATGACAGGGACAAACTGTAAAGGCACTGAGAAGTAATGACCAGAGTAACACTGGTAGGTGTTCGCCTACCTCTTGGTTGAAGGTATGTATGTTATTGTACATCCTCAAAACCCTCTCACTGCTGAGGTCTCCTTCATGTGCTACCTGACTGTGAGATGCTGAATCCTGGAAAGCCACCACTTCTCTAGGAGAGGAGGAGGCCAGGAGAAAGGAGTGGTTTTAGTACTGACACTCTTGATGGCTGTGTGGTGAAATGGCTCTCCACATCATCCTTCAACAGCCACAGTTTGCCACTTGAGTGCCCTTCAAATTGTAGTAGAGCTTTTGGACCTCAGATACTTTTTTGTCTGGTGTGCACTGAACTAATGTAAGAACATGGAGCTGTGATTGCCTGTATCTGAAAAAGACAGCAAAGCAGGAAATTTATAGTTTAATGTAATTGATAAACCCAGGGACTATAAAAAGTTAATGGTAACCAAGAAAGCTGATCATTTAGCTCAGAGCACAGATTATGCATTTGACATGAATACTGAAGAACTGGTGTTCAGGACACTGAAAAGATTGGCATTTGTGTCTTGGTTTGTCAGATGTGGGCTGAAGATTGACTTTGTCACTTTGTGAAAGAGAGTTATAGAGGTCTGGCATGTCTGGTTTGGAAAAGGAAATGTTCTGCAAGGACTAGGGAAAAGTTCTGCAAGGACAAGGACCTGAAAGAGAAGAGGGACTATTCCATTCCCCTTGTGAATGTCAAAAGGAAACAGATGGAAAGGTTTTGGTCAAGGCAAGCAAGAATTTCTTAAAGTTGAGCTCTATTGCTGCACAGTACTTACATAATCACTACGCAGCAGGAGGAATCGGTAGAAATATGGGACAAATAAAGATCAGTTTCTTGTTCCTGATTATAGTTTCTCTCAAGTCTGTGTTGGGTCCATTAAGATTATATTAGATCTCTTATTTCACAAAGGCCAGTTCAGGAAGCCTTCAAAGGTGGTCCATAACATAATTGTCTTCTTACTTTCCAGCTTCCAAAATCAAACAACCTGTTACCAGGCACATTTCTCAGTGTGACGGTGAAGGGGCCCACACTGCAGTTCACGAGCCGCAAGTTGGTGCTGGTCCATAATTCTGAGAGCTTGGTCTTCGTCCAGACAGACAAACCCATCTACAAGCCTGGACAGACAGGTACCAGGAAAGGAGTGAAGATCTGCTTTTGAAACAGATCTTTATACTGAAGCTGTTGGATTGTGCTGGCCAGAATGCCAATTGTTTTCAGAGGGGGGCAGAACTGCAACTTCATGGCTGAGGCTCATGTCTTATTGCTCCATATAGGAAAGATCTGGGGAATCTTAAGATGCATGCACATATCTGGGGCACCTGCACACACTCCTTCTGTCACTGGGGCCTCTGTTCTTGTGGTCCATGCATTTAGGGTCAGCATTAAAATCGGAGAAAGACTGGATATTTGTCCTATAGAGAACAGGGCCAAAATTCAAACAAAGTCATGAAATAGCTTTCAAAGTGGCAGCTGTTTTTGTTCAAAGAAGACAGTGAGAATTATGTAATCTATTTATTTTTTCTGGGCCATTGATCTCCTAAATTTGGCCTGGATAGAAACAAATGTCCTAAAAGAGATACTGAATACTCTCTCCACCCGGAGCCGACACAAACTTGCAGCCAAGTGCTGAAGTGCTTGCATTCATCCTTCTGAGGAAATCAGCCTAGTTATAACAAAATTAGAAGACCCATGTGAATTCCAGCATAAAAATGTGTCCTTGCAAAGCAAAGGCAACTTAAATTTAACTTCAGTCCCAAATAGTGAGATTCTGATGCCCATGATCATAAGATGTTCACACTGCCATGGATTTGCTCTTAGCATCCTCTTATTCATGTACCCATCTTAGATGATAACCGAGCATGACTTAACATTCTAGTGAATGGAATTTCTTTAGAAGAGAACACCTCTTGTTCTCTGTTATACCATTTGTTTTTGTAACTGATATTTACTGGTTGGTGCTGCACTGTGGAACCTCAGAGTCTGCCTTTCTCCATCAGTCCTGTTTAGAATTGTTTCTCTGGATGAAGAGTTCCATCCCTTGAATGAAGTGGTAAGTATAATATTGCCTTTTTCAAGTTATTTGGCCTTTAGTCAATTGTGAGGAAAGGGATGAAGCTGGGGAGTGTACACCACAGTTTACACCTACTTTTGTTGGTATTGCAGATCATCTAGAGTTAGTAATTAGTAATTTGTCTTTTCTGCCTGAGAAAATGAATTGCCCCTCCTGTCCACCCCAGCCCAATGAACCTCAAAATCGCTGTTGTTCCATATTAGGAACTTTTTTCCTCATCCTATTGGGTGAACACCTTTTACCTTGAGACATGATCACAGCCCTAGTCATTTCACTGTGTTGCTTGCACTCCATCTAAATATGTTTTTTCCTTTCTTCTTTTTCTAGTTTCCACTGGTGTATATTGAGGTATGTACAAACATTTAATTCATGTTCACATCTATTGCACCTCAACCTGGGCAGAATAAACAACTATCTCGAGATGGTTCTTGTTTATTTTTTGTATTAAGCAGGTCCATTGCATTAATTCAAATATACAGTGCTTTAACTCATGTGGTGGCTACCATGTACATGGGCCCAGGTTACAGATCCTCTGTCATCCAGCTCTGGACTGCACACACACCTCTGTGCCCCCCACTCCTGCCCTGCAGCCTCCTGAAACACAGGGGCTGGCCCTCCCCTCACTGCTTTTACTAGATCTTGTTGCAGACTCCCATTGTTCTCACAATCTCCTTGTGATCACACTGTCTGTAGGACCCAAAGAAAAACCGTCTGTACCAGTGGACACAGGTAGAGTTAAACAAGGGATTTATACAGCTGTTCTTCAACCTCACCTCTGAACCTATGCAAGGGACCTACGCAGTGGTGGCACAGAAGACCTCTGGGAAGAAAATTCAGCATTCTTTCTCTGTGGAGGAATATGGTAACTGTCACTGCAGTTTCAAGTTCCTAAGAGCTAGTCCCATGGGGCATGAAAGCTTAGTTGGACAGGGTGGCACATCTGACGAGGATGTCCAGCATGGCTGGAAAATTGTTTCTGTGTCCTCTCCCTGTCAAGAATCATCCATTTAGGAGGAGGTGACTAAAGGATTTCAGTGACCTACCTTCAGTCCTCCCTAAGCCTCAGACCTTGCAGAGCAATTCTTCTGAGCACCTACCTCAGCAAGGCTCCTGTCACAAGGAGCAAAGTGCTTCAATCAGTGTGTGCTGACAGCCACAAGCCTGAACTCCTTTCAGAGGTGATTTAAGGCCACAGCCTCATATCCAGTTGGCTGCATACCTGTCAAGTGTCATGCTTTAAGTCTGGGTTTAGGCTGGGGCTGTCTGTAAATTAAGATCTTGCCTTTCCTTCCCACACAAGCTGAGCCTGTAGCTTGCACAATGCCTTAGTGCCTTAGCTTCTTTCTGGCTCCATCTGCTTGACTGAAAAGTGATATCCCAGTACACACCTGCACATGGTTGCAACCAACATATAGCTTTCAGCAAGCCAGCTGCAGCCCTTGTTGCATGGTCTGACATGATCTGGCTTATGCAGCAGAGGGATGTCCTGGAAGAGGAGTCTGGAGTCCTTTGACCTCTTACAACTGCAAGACTGTTCTGTGTCCTGTGCCCGGCATCTCCCCTACTTCTCCCAAGACACTCCCCTTCCATTTCCTCTCCTGCAGTTGTGTTTGAATGGGATATCACTCTGTGCTATGTCACTGGGGTGACATAGCTATGGAGTCTTCCTATTTTGCAAATTGGTAAGATCCACATGCTTTGGAAATGCAGAGACCAGGCTGCAGTCCCAAATCTGTGTATTTGTGGCAAACCTGTATTATGTTACCTCTCTATTTTACTGCATCCTACTGCTGTGGGACTGATAACTCACGTGTTCTCTAAGAAGCTGATGTGTTTTAATAGCTGGTGTAAATGATCTTGTCTGCTTACTTGGCACAATGGTTGGCTGTTTTTCACTGACTTCAATGGGATGTGCAGGTGACAGAAGCCACTAAAATCTGACCATTTAGATGTAAAAGCGTTTCAGGGAATTTCTAATAACAGCCTTTGAGTAGCCTTCATATGTTATTCTTATGTAATTCTGCACCACACAGACTGTTTTCCTTTGGTTCTACTGCAGTGCTGCCAAAATTTGAAGTAACCGTGAAAATGCCTAAGGTGATCACCATTCTTGCTGAGAAGCTGGAGGTGACAGTTTGTGGACTGTGAGTGCAATTCTTTTGAGTTCTCCATGGTTTCATTTTTTTTATTCAACTGCTGCTGAAAGTTCAGTTGGGAGCTTGAGATATGAGACTTTATTATATTTCTCAATCCTTTTGGGATCTCAGGACCACAGAGACTGTATCTGTATCTTAGAAGGCAGGAATTACTGTTTGTTGCACTTTGTATGTAATATGTAGAAACATTCTGGGTTTTTTTCGGAGGGTATTTCTTGCATATTTTTTGAGTCATAGAGAATTTCACACCAGCTACAGTGCTAGGGAAGAGGTCGTTGGTTTAGTTTACTCAGGAGTGTTTTAACTGTGTCTTCTGCTTGTTAGTGTGGAGAGGAAAGCCTAAGGCATGCAGCCGTGCTCTTTCCTTTTGGGCACCCCATTTGGTTCCGCATAGCGGTGTAGCGAGAGCCATGGCTTGGGCTGAAGAAGGAGTCAAAACACCCAGTGCTCTTACATACACAAACCAGTTCCATCAGAATTGTGTGGTGGGGTAGATACTTTCATCATGTTCTCCAAGATGAGGGGACTCTAAACTAAATCAACATTAGTGTAAATGAATTCTAAAGACTTCTGTGTTATTCCCAGGGATGCAAACAGGACTATTAGAATCAGTGCTTCTACCCCTGTTGCCAAGCTTGATCCTACCATGTTACCAAATTTCTTTCTGCTTTTTCTTTTCCTGTGATGACCCTCGGTATCTTGGAGGCAGCTCTAGGGAAGAGTCTTGGAACCACTAGGGGTGAACTTGTAAGCTTCTTCCATCCCTCTTACATTCCTAATGACTCTGTTTTCCTTTCAATCCTCCATGCTGCTAGATACACATTTGGGAAGCCTGTTCCTGGTCTTGTGAGCTTCCGTGTCTGCCGCAAGTTTGAACATGCAGGCCGTACCTGCTATGGTGAAGAGGATAAAGCAGTGTGTGAGGAGTTCTCCGGACATGTGAGTCATCATTACTCTTGTGGGTAGAGTGATAGGAGAAAGTGTTCATGCCTGGTAGGCATAAAGGAAAGGTCACATGGAGTGTAAAGAATATAAGAGAGAAAAGAGATGGAAAACCCATGAATGATGAAAGCACAGTTGGGGTTATCTTACACTGGAGACAGTCTGTGGTTCATAAGTTGGTCTTAGAAGCAGGAAAGGAGCAGAAACTGGGGGAGGGGATGATGCATTTTGAGTTAGAGGGAAATGAATACGAGGTTAGCAGTAGTGGTTAAGACAGACAGGGAGAAAAGTCATTTTTTTTCACCCTTCTTACTGGCAAGTTTGCAAGAGCAAAACTGGGTGGAGTTTGGAGCACACAAAGGTAAAACAGTGCTAGCTTAATTGATAGAAACTAGGGTAATAGAAATTGTGGAGATATGCCAAGAAAAGAAAGCAAGCAGAAGACATTCTTGTGGTCCCTGGGCTCTGATACAGCATGATGCCCCCAGTCGCCTCTGCCACTGCTGTTGTTATTCATGTTAAAAGAAAGTATGAACACTGCAGTGCTAACCTCTGTTTGGAACATCTCTTCTGTGGAAATGAAGATCCTTGTATATGAAGATCCTGAAGAGAGGTGACAAGCTTTGGAAATATTTTTCCAGCTGTCATCTGTTTTCTACACACAGACAGACTTTGGTTTATGTATCACTGATATGGTTTATGCATTTTAAATCAGCAACAGTATATTCTAAGGTGCCTGATGTCTGACAGACATTTCTTGTGTGGCATACACTTGACTTATTCCCTTTGCTTTTGTACTGAATGTTTGAAACTTCAAACTTCACAAACATACACGAAAATCTTCTAGTTTGCAAGGTCTTTGCTCTGAGGTTGCTGCAGGTACTTCAAAATGTTTTTGGCCAAATTATTTAGGTCCTTTAATGGTTTTGATAAAAACAACAGAGGGAAATTATATATGGGCTTCTCTTTCAGTTCAGAGCAATGCACAGTGATGGATTCATTAAGTTGAACAACCACTGTATAAATGAGAATATAATGGTTTTATTTGTTTCCCTCCAACAGACAGACAACTATGGCTGCATTTCTGAAACAGTAAAGACCAAGTTATTCCAGCTCAAGAGAGGTGGATATCAGAATAAGCTCTATGTGGAGGCTAAAATTAAAGAGGAGGATACAGGTATGAATCATCTGGATGGAAGAGCCATGTAATAAAACAAGGAGAGACCAGCAGAGGGTCCTGCCAAATAGGAATGAGGGAGCAAAGCAGACTCTTGCTTTTCTGGAATCCTAAAGTTTTCCTACATGTCGACCAGGACCATCAGCAAAATAGTTTGTCCAGCAAAGGAGGGTTGGCCTAGAGTAAAAGTAATTCTGATCAAGCAAATTGGTTCTTCATGTTTCTTTCTGCAGGAGTGGAGTTGACTGGAACAAGCTTCTCTGAGATCACAAGCACCATTAGTAAAATCACCTTCGAGCGTTCAGATTCCTACTACAAACGTGGAATCCCCTTCTTTGGGCAGGTAGGGAAACCATGATAATGGAATGCCATGAGTGCTAAGCAGTGATACTACTGAGCCTCCTGCCCAGCCTCTGAAAGGATGCTGGACCTCAGTGCTGCTAATCCCTGTGGGTCTCCTTTCCTCTGCAGGCTCTCAAACTGGGGGACAGCAGCTGAGAACACAGCCCTCATTCTGCTTACCTGTCTGTCCTTGCGCTTTCTGCTTCTCCAGTCATCTATTAAATAGGAGGCCTCCGGGGTGTGAGTGCATGTCGTGCTCCACATCCAGTCCTCTGACCCAGAGGCAGAGATAAGAAAGTGACAAAGAAAATATATTCAGAAATTTTGCAGCTCTCTCTGAAAGAGATAGATTGTGTAGGCTTCCTTGTATGACATGGCCCCAGCATCTTTAGCTTGGTGGTCTGCCAATCTGTTCAGGTGGCAGCTGTTCCTGTACTGTTTTTGCTCCTCCAGGTGAAACTAGTGGATGGGTCTGATGCTCCAATTGCCAATGAAACTGTGAGGATTTCTTTTCAAGGAGGACAGGAAGAAAACTACACAACAAATGAAGAGGGCATAGCACAGTTTGCCCTAAACACTTCCATGTTGTCCTTTGACACTGTTGGAATTAGGGTAAGTCCTGCAGGCAGAGGAGGTAATGAAGTGACCCACTGGGCTGGAAGGGGAGTACCCCTGAAGTTTCTACTATATATGCAAAAGCAGTTAGATTATTGTTCCTTGTTTTTGTCAACCTTGACACCAGTTTGGTGGAAATATTCATACAACAAACTGCGTTGCCATGTCACAATTGCACTTATTTTGTAAGTATTTGATTTCTGCTGGGCAGTAGGGTTAGAAGGAACATAAAGAGATCATAATGGTCCATTCTGCTCCAAGGGATCATCAGTCCTACACGGACAAATCTGTTTCAAGGGTGGGTCTGTCTCACATGATGGAGTGCTTGTGATTCACTGTCGTTTTAATTGAATAATTCCTCCACCTTAGTATCCTCTGTGGTGAGTTAAGGCAAGCTGCATATTTCAGGGTTTGTTGTAGCATTTCAAGTTTCTAAGAAGACCTCCTAATTTTTTTTCTTTTCTTTTTTCTGCTGTTAAAAGAGTATAAACCATTCACATAAATTCTCTTCCAGGTGTTGAATTTGTTTGTCTGGATTTAGGCAGAATATTTATGTCTAGAGTAATATTTGCTCTTCTTCTCATAATTCTCTCATCACAGATTAAAACCATTAATTATCCAGAAGTTACTACTAGATGCTTGAAGTTTTCAGGTTTTTGCAGGGTAAAGAAAAGGCAAGAATTCCCAAGTATAATGAGAAAGATAAGGAAATAAGGGCATGTGAGGCACACACGAAGTGCTGAAGTAGTGCCCTTCTAAATGTGGAATGTCTTAATTTTTAACAGGGCCTGGACTCTTTCAGCTCTTGAATTTCTATTCAATATAGGTTTTGAATTATTAGGTGGAGATTTTCCTCCTTTTCTCTAGTATTCATAGCTTGATCTTGGCACTGGTGATATCTTAACTGAACAGCACTATCCCTTCTTCAGTGCCAATAATAAGGAAAGATATGAAAATCAGCTTATTTTCTCTTTAAACTATCAGAATATTAGAGAGGGCAAGGTATTAGTGTAAAGAGTCCTTGAGGGGATACTGATAGTAAACAAAAATCTGATGATTCAGCTTGTTTGACACAAACTCCAGCTTATCTGGTAGTGAGGTCATTCCCAGTGATTTGATAAGGATACCACCACCCTGTCTTGCACTTTCCAAATTCGTGGGGTTTTTTATGTTTTAGACTTCCTCGTTGCTTCAATACAAAAAAATACCAAACCTTTATTGTTAGTGCATGAATTTTGACTCCAGTTCAGCTACTTGTGTTTGAGGATCTATGTGTGTATTTTCTCATTTTCCAGGCAGTTCATAAAACACATCCCTACTGCTATGACCGTTCCTGGGTTGTTCCCTATTATGCAGACGGCTTTCTCCAGCTAAAGAGCTTTTACTCTCCTAGTAATAGCTTCCTCAAAATTGAGCCCAGGTCTGAGACACTAAGCTGTGGCTCCTCTGCAGAGATCCGGGTGCATTATATCCTTACTCCAGAGGCCATAGCAGAGCAGAAGAAAATCACCTTTTACTACCTGGTAAGTTTGCACTGCCATACAGTGTGGTTGTTGTTACTGGTAGTGGTAGGGGGGCTGGAAATGGAAACTGTGGTTTGTGTCAGCAGGCTTTAAACACTTTCTCATTACCCTGCTTATGTTCTTTCCCAAAGAAATGGGAAAACAAATGTTCTTTGCCCCCTGGGTGAGCACTGGGATTCTGCTACAGCGGGGGCAGAGAGCAGCTGAGTGGTGTGTGAGCAGCAGACATACAGCTCAGTTGCCCCCCTCTCAGGTTCCCTCTCTTTAAGGTTTGGCTCATGCATAACCTCAATCACGACAAAGTTTCTGCTTCCATTCAGGTGATGGCCAAGGGAAACATTAAACACGCAGGCACCCACATTCTGGATTTGGACCAGGAGAGTGGTGAGTTCTTCTCCCTTACCAAATTGCCACTGCTGTGGGAGGCTAGGCAACTGTGGCAGACATACACTCTGCTTCCATATAAATGCAGGGATCGACAACTCCATGTCCCCTAAGATCTGGGAAGAGTATGACCTTCATTTTCTCTGCCTTTATTTAGACTTTGCACAGATTTGCTTTAATCCTCTGTGCCAGTTGTCTTTGTTCTGACATTTTCTGGGGCTCCAGTATTCCTAAGAGACACAATCTGATGGTCTGTTTTAGAAACCGAGGCAGAATTCAGCACACTTATGCGTTGGAAAATAGACCTTTCAGTCAGACAGTGAGAATTCTGCATTTCTGTGAGCACCAGTTCATCCCACTTGCATGCCTGGAGTTTCATAACGGCTAGGATGAAGTTCACCATAAAGTCAAACTTCGAATTTTGGCTGCTCCAAGGGAAGGTTTCCTGCACCTTAACTTTTTGCCCTTGCTTTCTTTGCTAGCCAGTGGTGCCTTCTTGCTACAGCTGCCTGTACAATCTGATATTGCTCCAGTGGCCCAAGTACTTATTTACACCACTGCCCCCAGCAGGGAGGTGATCGCTGATTCAGCCAAGTTCAGCATAGAATTATGCTTCAACAATAAGGTAAGCATCCACTTCTTGAGGCAGCAGCCATCAGATCGCAGTGTGGCCAAGCTTACTTAGATTTAGCCTGGCTAAGCTAATTTCTTTGAATTTACTAACACTGGACAAGCAGCATATCCATTGTTGTAGGTAGCTTCACTGCCTACTGGTTTGTGCTAGCCTGGAAGAGATCAACTGCTGGGAAAAAAGTGCTAACAGGGACTACACTGATAAAAACCCTATTAGCAACTAGTCACAGCCACTGATCCCACAGATGGTCCTGGCTAAGAAAAACACGGTGGAGACGCATGTTTTATTAATACTGCAACACGTCTATTTCACTCCTTTTCACATAAACTCATTCTATCAATGAGGTGTCTGCTTATGGAGCCACCAAGCAAAAATAAAACACACATAGCCCCAACCCAGTGGGCAAAACTAATACTTGTCATATCTCTCAACTACTGTACAGCTCATCCTGTCATTTTAATTTCTATTGTATGTAAATAAGGATAAACCTTGCCTGAACCTTCCGAGCAATGTACAGTGATGGTTCAATAGCAGTGGTGGGACTGAAAAAGTGCTGAAAAATAAAGCCTTTTCCCTGTGAGCACATGCACTGTTTTTCTCTTACAACCTCCCATATTCCTTATGCAGAAGAGCAGATTGATATAAGAGCAATCCTAAGAAAAGAACAACCTGAAGAATTTCCATCGGGACTTAAGAATACTAGACGCAGCTGAAGACAGTCCCTTGACCTGCTAAAACACAAGCAAAATCAGTTCTTGAGACTGGTTATGCTATAGGAGCTTGGTCACCTGAATTTTGTTCATATACTAAAGGTCATACTATAGACTGCATTAAGATCTGTGTGCCAAATGATTTTCATGATGAGATACTGCTTTCTTCTCTGAAAGCATACTGAATACGAAGTTGTTGTCAGTCTGGATAGGACAGACTTAGGCCTATTTCTGTGCTAAACAGTTTTCCTGGTAACAAGCTTGCTACAGTCCTTTTTCTGCCGTTTCCTGGAGAATATTTTTTTTGCAGTTTCAAGAATCCACCCTGGGAGAGTTGGAGGCTGTCAGCAGAAGGCATGCTGTATTCTGGTTGAGACATGAGGGAAACTGGCAGCTGATGCTGCTTTGTCAGGCAACAGATTTACTCTGAGGGTGTTTTGATGAGCATGCACGTTCAGAGAGGATTTGTACTGCTGAGGAGAGAGAAGATTTATGCAGGTCAGCCATCTTATTACAAAATCATGTGATAAGTGGTGACAACAAATTTGCTAGCAAGAACCTCCAGGTCAGAGGTAGGTAGGGCATTGTTAGAGTTGTGAGTTAGACACAGAAGTCTGGC